ATTTCTCCTTGAGAAGTGTGCTGACTATCCTGAGCTAATGGACCGTTGGTGGATCCCAAAATTTTATATTACGGTAGATGTTACGTCTCGTCTCAATAAACTTACTTGTAACTAACTACAAGTGAAAGGAAAAACAGTTTTTTTTCAATGTTGCAAAAAGCTATTTCATTAGAAAACAAGTTATTCCTTTTCGCTCAAGATTCTGAAAGAGAAATATTCATTCATTTTCTAAGAATGCTGAAACATTGCCAGAAAATGATTTGGTAATTGACATTTACCATTTCAAAACAACAATTTTAAATATGAGGGAAGCTTTTCAACAGAGGTTTCAAGAATTCAGAAACAGCAGAGTGACATTACCCTTTGTTGAAAAATCCTCTCAGAGCTGAAACAATGGCATACTTGCCAACCTATGACACTAAAAAATCAGGAGACTTTTCACAATGTTAAAAAGACTTTTAAATGATAAAAATATAGTTTTTAATGATGAATTAACTTTACATAGTGACTAATTTTTAAATACAAGCAACAAAAACACCTTACACATAAAAAACATTTTTATTACTTCCAACATTTAAGAAAAAAATAATAAAAGACACTTTAATCAGTTTTCATACAAATGTCATGAATAGTGGCAGATTTTGCTTTCATTAAGAAAGAAACTTCATAATTTTGTTCATAGCAATTGCCACGTAGGCCTGCTTTTGCTAATAAAAGTTTCTCTAATGTGTCATTACGAATACTGGATCTAATTTTAGTCCTTGTAACAACATAGAAAATCTTGTACTCTTCTAATGAAGATGGAATGGAAATGGGGAATTATCAAGATTGCCAACATTATTCCAGACACATCACTATACTTGAAAATTTCATCAGCACCTTTCAGTTTTCCAATTAAACTCCACTGGGTGTCTTTCCTAGCTGATTTTATAATTTTATCTAAGTTTTCTAATTGTAAATTGCAGAATTGCGTTTGCAATTTATCAGCTGCAACATAAAAATCAGCATATTTCATAACTAAATTAAATAAAACTAAAAATCTATTTGAAACATACCTTATATCAGAAAAGATGCATTTGCTAGGGCAGAAAGATCTGCAACTTTAGCATATAAAATCATTTCATTGATGATTAGAAATTTATGGTGCATGTAATAACATACTTGGCAGTAGTAGCTTCTGTCATGGAAATAAAACTTATTTTTGTCTTCTTCTGAAAGTTTTTCTACTATTACACTCGTTGCAGCCCCTATTACCAAAGCTTTTTTCTCATTTTCTATTTTACCATAAATCACCTGATATGTAGAATTAGAAAATGAAACAAAGATTGGTTTTACAAGCTTGAATAAAATGTCTTTTAACAGATCATAAATCATTGATTGCAAAACATAAAAATTGATTGCAAAACATGAATTAATGGAATTCTGCTTTGTAGCTGTGTTAAGAACATCAAATGATGGCAAAATGAATTGTAAAAAAAAGCAAAAAGCTTTGTTAAGGTCCGAAAAAAAAAAACAAATATTCGTTCTTCACAAGATAAACTTGCAGTAATCGGAAAATGTTTCATGTGCTGAGTAATTTCTTTTTTATTTTGAGAGAAATTTGTATCAGCTTTACTCTTATATTTTGCAGTATTATTTTGAGAACTGCTGAATTGCTGAATGGTGCAGAAATTACTTTATTTTTCTCAAACCTATTTTTAACAATGGAAGTAGTAACTACATCTCCATTTACTTTAGGTATTTTATAACTTTCAATAGAGACTTTTATCTTACTCTCGAAGCATTTACTTCTTCTTTAAAAAATGCAAGACGAGGGTTCTATTGATCAAGGATTCTAAACTAGCATTTCTTTAAAGACAGCCAGTATGTACATACGTTTCAAAATTTTTCTCATTTCAGTATTATGCAGCTGTTGGAACTGTTTCAATTTTTCCTTCCTTTTAGAACTCCTTTCAATATAATAATAAATATCAACAATGTGTTCATCCACATTTATTGGTAAAGCTGCCCCCTTTTCAGCTGTAAAATTTAAGAGGTGACAGGTGCACATCATAATCTGCAAATCTGAATTTGCCTTTCTTAAGATGCCTGCAACAATAGTCTTCAAGCCTATTATTACTGAAGCATTATCGGCACCAAGTGCTAAGCAAATTATCCAGAGGGACTGCATTTTCTTTTAAAGTTTTAATAATTAGCTGTGCTATATTAAAGCCTGTCGAATGTCCTTCTAAAGTGGGGACAGAAAGTAACCGCACTCAATTTCTGAAGACTCTGGACTAAAAAAAGAAACAACAAATGGATAGAGTTTTGAATCGGTATTATTGCTTCCATCCATAGAGAGGCAGAACGGAGCTGTTTTAATGCAATCAATAACTGAAGATTTATTTTTCAGTTATTTTTCAAACCCTTTTCTTTAACAATTGCACCTGTTTTGATCCTTAGCGATTTCACTATCGGGAAACATTTTTCTAAATAAAGCTGCAGCGTGATCCGATGCATTCAGTGGCAGGTTATGCTCCAGTAAAAAAGGCAGAGAACAGACATTCCGCATTAATAACTTTTTGGTCCTTTGTTTCCAAAGAAAAATTTAATTTTTTGTTTTTTTCAAAACAACTCGTCAGGGTTCCTACACATTTCGGCACATGGAAATTCAGGACATTTAAGGACCATTCATGAAAACATTAAGGACCTATAAGCAAATACCCCTGCGAATTCAGTAACAGCAAAAAGCCAGAAATATTTTTTAAAAAAATCGGATTAAAAATGCATAAAATTAATTTTATAGAGAAAACTGACACACATTTTGAGACAATTACATATGGAAACTCCTACCAGGAAAAAATTAAAAAGAAATTTTTAATTAATTACATAGCTATTTTGCTTTTGCTAAGAACCATTTCGTAAATTGTGCTTTATAGCATTATACCTTGCTTATTTTTCAGATTCAAAATATTGTATAAAAAGTGGCGATAATACGACAGTAAAAAATAAAAGTGCTTTATTTTAATGTTATTTCTTAAATGTAATTACAATATATTACCATTATTTTAATGAAACTTATGTTACAATGTTTTAAAAAATCGTCGAAAAACTGATCTTAAAATCGCCAATGTTGATAAGTCGCCAAATTTAGAGGAATTTAATAAAAGAATTCACATCCCCAAAAGCAAAAAGTTGTTTAAAAGCTCTTCACTTGAAAAAATGAAATAATTTCGAATGCTTCTTGTTTCACACTTGCTCAGAAATTCTATCCCACCCTTTATATTAGAAATAGGAACAAATTATAACCCATGAACGCATTCACCCATTCAAAAGATAACGATATTTGTCAGAGAATTGCCAAAAATATTCCTCCAAAATGCTAATTCACACTCAAAATGGCAGTCAAAAAACAGTCAGAAATTTCAGATGATTAAAAATTAAGGACCTTCTGACGATTTTGGCCGAAATTAAGGACTTTTAAGGATCAAAAATCGATTCCAAAAAACTTAAGGACTTTTAAAAGACTCTTAAGGACCATACGAACCCTGGTTGTCCTTGTGTTTTTTTGTACACACATATTTGAGAACATCCACCTTTCCACCATGTGAAGTCGAAAAATCGCAATGACAGACGGTACACATCGCAAATTTATAACATTTCCTTGAGGAAATAATGGAATGAAAGTCAACTGTGTACGATTTTGGAAATGTACACGAGTATATTTCACCTTTCTCACAGACATAACAAAAGATGATAATTTCTAAAACTATTTCTCGAAAGCACGTGTACTCACACAACTCAGGACAATATGAAGGAAATAACTAAAGAACATCCAAATAACAGCCTTGAGCTTGCTTTGTGCTCATTGGCTAATATATGCCAGATGATATGCAATGGAGCTCGATGCCCATTGAAGAACTGGAGAACGACGTTTCTGGATATGTTCTCACTCAGAAAGCAGAAATTTTCATCTGATTCGCAAGGTTTTGTTTTAGATATAATCTAGAGAGAATTCAATTGCTTTTAGAATTCCAAAATCAAGTTTTTGTTTTGTTTTGTTTATATAACAAAGTATTAAGCAAAGTTTCGATAAAAATTGTGAGAAATTTTAAGAATAAGAAAAAGTCAGGAGAAATATAGTGCAAATCGGGTTGGCGGGAGAGCAGTCGAAAATCGGGAGAGTTGGCAACTCTGAAATAAAAATGAATTTTTCTGCTTTTAATATTGACATTGGCTCCTTTGAAATGAAATTACGGAGTTCAAAAACACACAGCTATTGAGCTCCAAATCTGAACATCTTAATGTTGATATAGAACACTTGAAGAAAAATAGATGTGATCTAAGTTCACAGCAAAATATACAGTATTTTTCAACACCCGGGAAGTGTATTCCTGACTCACATGATCAGTTAAATAAACAAGCATCTGTTGCTCATTCCCTGTTTGATTCTAAATAAATAAGCGAGCAACCTTTTGCAAGCATGAATCTTAGAAAACCTGAATTCCTGCTAGAAATGAAGAATAATGACATATAAACCTGACTTATCCAAACTTTCAAAGGTCACTGTTCACATTAAATGAATATTTTATCATATTTTTAGTCAATAAATAAGATTATTGCTATTATGACATCTGGTTTTATTTTATTTAATGTTAGTACCTAGTTTAAACCAACATGGCTCTTGAAAAGAAATTCAATCGCAGAACTGCTACGTTTAGTTCTTTCGATTAATGAGTTGGCTAACCACTACCCAAAGGGAAAAAAAAATAACAGACAATTATTTTCAAAAGCATAATTATAAGTATCTCAAGAATGAAAAAAAAAAATATTTCTGCAATTCAGATAATTTTCAAAAGTTTCAAGAAATGAAAAATTAAATTACAAATTTCTATATCTTTCAATTACCACTAGAACATGTAATAATAATAATAATGGTCAACTTTCATGAGAAAATTTTACCAAAAAAATAGCTGAAAATAATGATTTTAATTTTCTCCAACAGATTTATTTTCACTCACCTAGACAAGCAAACACGCTTTCTATGGAATGCTTCAGATTTTGCATCAAATGGGAAACCACTAAAATGCAAAATATTCTGCTTTGTCTGAGATAATGATCGTTCCTGTTTAAAATTAATTCCATATATTAAATTTATTGCATAAAAAGGAAACAAAATGCAGTTTTAAGTTAGTTTAAAAATATATTCCTTATATTCTTATTAAATTTAAACTACTAACAGTTTTAGAAACTGCTACATTCACAGAAATTCAAATACTAATATTAATATTTTAAAATGCAGTTTACATACAAAATATTAAATGCAGTATTTTGGTTTAATCAATCAATATCTATAACACAAAATGTTCTGAACTTTTATTCTGCATTTGTAACAAATATTCCCAAACTCTTACTCAACTTGCATACTTTTTATTCCCTTTATTATAAAATGTAGTAAAACCTCTAATAATAGCCATACAAAGTTTTCAGATGATTTTGATCATATGCAAAGCTATCATAGAAATGGCTTAGATATGCTTATCAAGCTGCCTTGGTCGATATAATGGTCAACAATGGAGCCAGCATCATGGAAACGGCATACTCAATAAGAGTAATATGTGTTATATGAAGATCACTCATTTAATGCTGGCTTCTGTAATGCTGGGCTCAAGTTCAAATCCCAGAGAAGGTTTGGATGTTTGTAAGTATATAGTGTCTGTGCAGCAAGGGGACACTTAAAATGCTCTCAAATTAAAATTCCTCTTGAGAGATTTGGAGGTAGAAAAAATGGGGTCGATCATTTCTCCGAGGAGAACTCTCCAACAAAATTAAGATGGAGATTCCCCTTTCTAATGGGTGTGATTAGGACACCAATTGTCGTGCACTTTGGGCAACATTTTTGGCAATGGGACAGCTAATTGTTATAGGATACCCGTCATTCTGCATGAATGCATTAGTTGCATGTGTTAAGCTATTTGGACCAACCACAAAATGCATAATGGTGATGTTCAATGCTTAATTAATAACATTCTTAAAAATACTGGTTGCTTTCAGAGATGGTTAACAGAAAAAAATGACTGTCATAAGAGCTTTTACCGCATATAAGACGAGGGATGGCGGCAATCATTTATGTTAACTCTTTGTGAAAACCAAAGTAAAAATTTCAGCTAGGGAGCAATAGAAATAGCTCTTACATTATGAATCTCTTTAGGACAAAAAGTATTCATGTTTGTAACTGTAACCGAGGAAAGATTTTGCATTGGGATAAATGTTTTTTTTTTTTTTTTTTTTTTTTTTTTTTTTGTCCATGAGCCAAGAGGGAAGACACATTTATGTCCAACTTCAATTTATCAAGCTTATTCGTGATCATTATTATCTCTTGGTGGTTTCATCCAAAGTTCCTCGATAGTCCCCGTGAACGCAGGAAGTGAAGATTCTAGTACAGGCCCAAGAGGAGGAAGAAAACAAAGAATCTACAATGTTATGAGGGTTTTAAGAGCAACCACATGTGACTTAGAACCTGACTAAAGTACAACCTTTTTAATGTTTTTCTTTGATTTGTGAAACTTGGGAATAATAACACCTAAAATCTTTATCCTCCCAGTCTTGTAACGTTTTTGTCTGTGATGCACCAACGTTCTCATTTAGGAAATGAGTGATCTTCATATAACACATATTACTCTTATTGAGTATGCCGTTTCCATGATGGACTATGGTTTGGTTTTGGCTTATTTGATTCTGGCAAAGCATTCGAGGGCTATCTGCTCAAAGAAAGAGATGCCTTCTTAGAGGACATTCTAAGGAAAACTGGCTCGTATACATGTTACACATGGCAAAAGCCAGGAAAGTGGCCAAGCAGACAGTTGTCCGTCGCATTTGAACCTCGGACCACACTACCAGTGTTCAACGATTTTACCACTCGGCTGCTGGTGGGCCCAGATGAACAATGGAATTATATGAACATTTATACAAATGCCTTGGCTTTATTCCATGGCATTACAAATTTTAGTTATAAAAATAAAAGAATATTTGAACACTGATGGAGTATCATCACAGATTGCAGAGGAAAACATACAAACCACACGCATCATATTTCTAAAATAATTGGCTTTATAATCTCATTCAAGGAAACAGTCTCATTCTTCCTTAATAAAGAGTAAGATAATATACCAAGTGAAAGAGTTAAACATCACAAAATTACATGACTTGTACAAAATGAAAAATCAAGTGTCAAATGTCAAGTTTAGCTATATTTCTGAGGTTAACATCAGATTCAGTTATCTAACATATATGCCTATAATCTTTGTGATACAATAAAAGCAAAATTTGACATGCACTCCAAAAAATCATAAAACCTGGCTGCAGGACACGAAAAAAACAAAACTAATTCATAACCTTAAAAAAAATCTGAATGCTTCCAGATTTTATATTACGCCTAAAGAGGTGTCATTTTAGCGTTTTGTGTATTACCTTTGTTTATTAAATATCATGTTCTTCACCTTACACCATAAAATTTAATTTAACAGCAATATCACAAGAGAGAGAGAGAAAAGCATGTCTTTAGAATTTCCTATACACAGTTGCGGACTGGAGATAAAAATGTTTGTTTTCCTCATACAGTGTTCCTATCATTGAGTTTCTTAATCAAAAACTCATAAATGCTTGACAAAACATGAAATAGTTAATAAAACAAATTCTGAATTTGGGCTTCCAGATGCCCATATTCAGATGGAGACGTATGTTATTCAAAATTTGATGGCTCTAGGTATTGTTGTTTTATCACAATGCAAGAAACACATATACATTTATGCAGATTCTTCATTATTTAATTTCTTTAAATATTATACAGGGTGATAATATTCGGTGGCAACAATCTGAAAAGTGATTCAGACGTTTAAAGTTTTTGACACAAAATGCCAAAACAAAATTAATAGCCTTCCGGGCTAATGCCATTTAGGCTAACAATAAAATGATGGAAAAAGAATGGACAGAAAGGCTGAGGATGAGCAAATTATGACAGAGAAGATCTGTGTTCTCAAGATTTTATAACAATGTTTTCTTCATAACTGAAGTTACACAAACTAAAAATTCATTTTTTTCAAAATTTCTGCCAATGGACATAAACAGCCCCCCCCAAGTCTTTACATATTAAACATCGGATTAAATGTATTAAACATGATGGAACAGACAGTTTCTGCTATGCTGGAAAAACATTGTGGCATACTAAATTAAACAAAAATATTTTAATTTGCAAATATCTTTAATATATTACTACTAATTATTGTATTAAGATTTATTTGTGCAAAATATTGTTCATGAAAAAACTTCAAACCCAAAAATTTTTAACTTATACCCATATACACTACCCGACATTGAAAATGCAAACTTTTAAAAGAAATTTTTTTTTTGTATCTGAAAGCTGAAACAGACAAGGATAAAGAAAGACGCTTTAAGAAGTTTTATGTGTCTACATATATATACACTACCCGACAATGAAAATACAACAGCAAGAAGGAGTGGCCAGAAAGTGATGATATTTTGCAAACAGGGAGAGACAGCAATGAACAATAAGTGATCGCTATTTCGAAATAATATGCATAATACAGAGTAACAACAGCATTGGCTCAGTAGGTTGTAGGACCACCTTGAACACCTTCGAACATGGCAATGGCTGGGTCTGCAAATGGCATTCTGTCACATCCCAAATGTGTTGAACTTGTGAGAGATCGGGAGAGAATGGTGGCCAGGGAAGCATCAGTACACCGTCCATAGCACATTGGCTGATGTAATCAGTTATCCTACAGATAAAGGGCACTGTGCCCTGAATACAAACTAGAGGTGACTTGGAATCTTACACAACTAAGCCCTAAACCATAACACCAAAACAAAATTAATAACTCCTCTGGTTCTCTAGATGCTGCATTGTCGCATGGTGGGGCGTTCCACAATTGCTGATGGATTGGACCTGTCTCCAAAACAATGCCACCCTCGCACACAGCGACTATCACTGGAGAAACAGAAGCATGACTCATCTGCAAACATGGCCCTGTGTCATTCTGCCGTTTAAGCCTGGCACCATTGCAGATAATGGCGTCAATGATGAGTGGTCAATGACAGTCTTCTTAACGGATAGCACAAGCGCACGCCACTTGCCACCAATTGAGAGCAAATAGTTCTGATCGACATGGGAACATCCAGGATGTCTTGAATATGCTGTAGAATGGACGTAGAAGTGGCCTGGGGGTGCGCTACCGTTTGTTTGTTGGGGGATGTATTGACCCACACGTGCTGACATCACTGTGGTTGCAACAGCACACCTCAATATGACAAATTTCCTTGTTCCAAACAACATCGGCACAGCTGGTGCATTGTGGATGCATCAAGGTATGTGTCAGAGCTTCGCCGTATGGACCAACCTGCCCTTTTCAGTCTGATCACCATGCCCCTGGTAAAATCATCTGTCTGCTGGAACTGCCTCCGTTGGCCTGGCATTCTCTGCTATTACACATGTTTTCTGAGACAAGAATAAATTTTCTACGATGATTTTCTTAGCAGAAATAATGGCATGAAAATTGAACATTCTGCAAGTTCCTTCCCTTATATCTTCTTCAATATGCGTTGGAGAGCAGCATATTTCGCATCATTCACATAACTCGGTGACATGCAACTACCCTGAAATTTGCATAATTTTTGGGTCACTCCTTCTTGGTGTTGTAGTTTCAATGTCAGGTAGGGTACATAACAAAAACATTCACATCAATAAAAAATTAAAGATACATATGAAAAAGGAAATAAAAAAAACTCTTAAAATTTTTTACATTTTTGCTCAGTCCATAAATATTAAATAATACGTAATGCAGAAACCGCAATACTTGATCCGAGGCATTTTCAATCATGGATGCAACTGGAAGAAAAAAATAAAAAAAAAACACTAATAGCTGTATCACATCATGTTAAACATTAAAATTATGCTGTTTCTACTATAAACACAGCTGGAAATTTTTCTACAATATTATTACAGATTGCAATCAACATACATTATGATAAATAAAAACAGTGATTGATGGAAGGGGTGTCAGAGTTATAAACATTCGCTTTTACCATTTTATAATTTATTCTCTGTTTTATAGACAATTTGTTATACGATTTATATTTAAAATATCACAATCGATTTGAATCTTGCAAGAATAGGTAAAAAAAGTCTTCCTATATAAGTTAAATGCAAGAATACATAGATTAATTAGCTGTATTATATGTATGCTTACCACAAAGAGTTCTGACATCTTGCTTTTTTAATTAGCCATTTTTCTAGTATCCCCCCCCAAATCAAGATAGCAATGAACTTAGAATACACACTTTCTCCTGATAATATCTTCTTTAGAGAAAACAGAATAATTCTTAACATCCCAAAGCTGCCTTTAGTGATAACTTTAAGCCAATCAGTCAATTTTGTGTTCATCATCATCAGAAACTTCTCTCATGTTTTTCATAATCACTACAACTAACCGCATTCCAGAGGTAGCACAGTAAACCATTCATGACAATAAGATCTTATGTATGATCATCAAGTCCATTCATGATAGCAATATACCCTTCTGAACTTTATTGATTCATTTTATTGATCACATAAATATTTACATGTTCCATGATTCACATAAAAATTCTGTTATTCTTCTTCTTCTTTTTTACTCCTCTGCTTAAATCCTGCTCTTAAAAAGCATACCTGCCAACCTCTAAAGATAAAAATTCAGAAGATTTCTCCCCCAAATTCAGAAGATTTCTCCAAAATTCAGAACACGAAGAATTAATATCATGCTTTGATATTAAAAAAAAATAACAACTTATACAAATAGAAAAAAGAAAATTGTACTTACATTAGTAAATCTCAATTAAGTAGTAACTAAAAAACTTATTAGGAAAACATAAAACAAGAACTTAATGTTACACAAAAAAATTATTGCAATGAATTTAGAGTGCATTTTTTTGGCTTTAGCCAAAATTCTTTGGAAAATTTCCTGTCATAAAAATTAATTTCCTCATAACATTTAGCAATAAAAATGTTTCTAGAGTTTTTGGTGAAATTGAAGAACGAAACATAGTTTTTTTTTCTTCACAACAATGAAGACTCCGCTCAGCAGTACTGTGTGGAATTTGAGAATAGTATAAAACTTGCTAGTCTATCTATTTTGGTATTCCCATCAGCTCTTTTATTCTTTTTAAGGTACCAACGAGGACATCAAGTCTATCTTCTTCAGAACTGGCAAAGTCTTCAAACTGTGCAGCAGAAAATTGGTCTGTAGTCATCTAAAGCATCATTATGCACTCATTTTCTTTAATTGTTAACAAAATGGAAAATTTATCAATAAAAAAATGAATCTTTTCAAAAGATGAATTTTCAATTTGTTTCAAATTTGCCCCTTCAGCATTTAAAAGAACTTCATTTTGCAAAGGAAACTTCCTTATAATGTAATCACAGGCTGAGGAAAAGTACTTTCTAACACATTGAAAAAATTCTTTTTTCTCATGATCTTTCAAAGAATTTGCAAGTTCCCTGGTTTGATTTCCAATTATAACCACCGTAAGTTATTATGAAGTCACACACTCACACGTTGCAAAATGCATAGTTATTTCCTTTGAAGGATTCTTTAATTGTTGGAAATTCGGCTTTGTAGGCAGGCCGAAAACGTTGAGAATACGTTTTTTTTTTTTTTTTTTTTTTTAACTCATTTCGTAACAACGACGTTTAAGAAAATTCGTAGCACGTGCAAAAAAAAAAAAAAAAAAAAAATGCGACAATCCACGTTCGCTGAGTAATTCCCTTGCTGCTGAAGTGCAAACGCGAAAAAAAATAATCTGGCGCCCATAAAGAAAAGAGTGGGAGAAACAAGTTCTGTGCATTGGATTGGCTGGTTAAGCGGCGAGTTGGGAGAAACCGCAGGTTCACTGGAGTCGAAGTAGTCGGTAGCTGGCGGTAAAACGCACGATGCAATTGGCGAAAAAATTCTAAAATTTCCGACAAAAATCACTAAAAACACTTGAAAAAGGAAAAAAATCGTAAAAAATGGATTACGATCGTAAAATCGTAAAGACAAACGCTTTTTCGTAAAAATTACGAAAAATTCCTAAAAGTTGGCAGGTATGTAAAAAGCCATTTTTTATTATCTTTTCTATAATGTTTCTCTAAGCATACTCTGCCAACCTTACTTTTTCCAAAACATTGAAGGGAAAACAGAATTAAGAGTATCCATAAATTTTCAAATTAGTCTTGTTTGTATCCCACTTTCAAACTTCAAATGACCTTTGCTTCAGAGGTTTTAATAAGACCTAGTTTTTAGAAGCAAAGACTTTGCATTTCTTTAAATAGAAAAGTTGGAATAAAATTTAAGTTTATAAGGTCATTTTAGGTTATTAGGATTTAAGGTTATTTAAGTGAAACAAAATTATTTCCCTTTTTTTCAAACTAACAGATTTATGAATGCCTTTTAACCATCCACTGAAGATTTAATTTTTCATCCAAATATTTTTATAAACTTTCCACGTTAATATAAAACAATTTCATTTTAAAGAAACTCCACCTCGTCTATGTAAAATGATTGATTCTCAATCGTGAAAGTTTTTTTACCTCTATAATGCACTGCTGCTGCTAGTAGTACCCCTACGTGTAATCTATACCCTTGAATGTTACTTTCTGTAGAATGAAAAATGAAAAATACAATCTGTTTCATCAATACTGATAACATTCATCAGCTTGTAATCTTGCATAGGTGTAGAATCCACTACAGGGTAAAGCACTTAATAATGCCGAATCAGGAATATAATTTGAGTTTTTAGACCACTGGTCTACCACATGTAATAATCACATGCAATTTGAATTTTTAATCTACTGGTCTACAACATACAATATTTCAATTCCTTACTGACATTCTGTCGGGCTCTAGTACTGAACTTCGATATCATCTGAAATCTGCGCCAGTTTGAACAGCTTATGTAAATGCTGGTCATGTAAAACACATGGGCAGTCACGGTTTCCTCACTGGACGTTGTAATATACTCCAGCATACTTCTAACAGACACAAATATGCTCAATGGGCTCAAACTGGCAATCCTGTGGTAAATTCGCTAGCCTATGGTCAATGGGCACTAACACGGAGCTCAAACTGGTGGCCCCTGAAGTAATTTTACATAGCCCATGATACATTTTCAATAAGATAATTAGCATCATTATGATATTAATTATTAGGACAAAAAAATTGAAATGTTTAAGATTCTAATAATTTTTAGTCAAATTTTTCTTTATTTCCATTGTTATTAAAAAGAACATGAGTAACACCCCAGAAAATCTACAAATAGAGTTAATTAGTTTATACTGTGACATAAACCTTACTCACAGAATTGAAGATACGTATTTGTTAAACCTTTTTTCCCATTCGTCAAAAAAGAAATACCTTCAGTTACGAACTGTTTTTATGTGAATAATTTGAGAATACATTTTTATATGAACAGCTGCCTCTCCCCCCAAGTTGAAAATTAATAAGTCTAAAAATAAGAAGCAGATGGATCGAAGAGCATTTGGAATTTGTGATGAAGATAGCTTCTGTTAACTTTTCTCCAAGGCTACATTATTTAAATCTCAAAGCTATGAAGTGTTGTAAAGTTGTAGTACAAAATAAAGAAGTTTATTTACATATAAATGTATGTTATTTTTTTATATGCATCAAGAAAGATAACGGGTTGTCATTATTCTCAAATTTTGTTCCACTTGAAAAGTTTTCATAATTTGTTTCTCTTAAGTAAATCATTTAGTGGTTAATTCTGTTAGAACTATTTGAAATAAATGTCAGTCTGAAAATTGACTACTTAGCCATTACTATATTTGAATTACAAAATGTAACCAACAGAAACTTTTTGCAGATACCAATCTTTAGATTTCAGACAAAAAATAAACATAAATTTAAATGTTCTCCTGTGTCTCTATTATTATGATTTATAAATATTTAGAAAATTTAAAATTTAGTTTTAAAAAAATTTAATTTTGATAAAACATTTTTCCCTTTTTTCCGTTTTTAGATCATGTATTTGGCCTACATGCAATTTCAATTCTTAATCATCATGATCACATGTGATATTTCAACTCCTTTCTGATATTCTATGAGGCTCTTGTACTGCACCTGGATATCATCTGAAATCCAGGCCAGTTCTGAACAGCCTGTCAATATTGCCCAGTTAACTTGAATCAAATTATATCTACCCTTGGTATCACGATATACATATTCAAAATTTTAAGCTTCACAGTCCTTATGCCAAGTTTTGAAATAAACAGCATAAAACTGAAAACTGAGCACATACAACATAAGCCTAACCTTTACATTAATGGTCTTAATATCATACTGTTGCTTAGTAAAGCAATTCTTCTTATGCTATTTGTGATACTACACTATAATGAGAATGCATGTTGAAAACAATATGATTGCTACCACTTTTACAGACAGACTAACCCCTTTGTTTTTTGGCTATAGTGTAATTACTATAAAGTTTCAAAATCAGCAAAATTACAACTTTTTGTCAGTACTTTTGAGAATATATACTCAAATAATCAAAGCTTAAATCTAACTGGATACATTTGACTGGCTCTGCTCTGAGGATGCTCATATAAACCTCCCACCTCTCCTGTTCAAAATTTTATTAATCATTCAACATGATTACTAAAAAATAAATATATGAGCTGATTTTAAATACAAAGCATATAAAAAGTACACCATTTATAACAGTTATCAAAAGAGGGAATGCCTATGTTTAGAAATTCTATGTTAAGTTTAAACTAAAGTATATCACAGAAATAATCTATTTATAAATGGTGGATCATTAATCAAAACATAATTTTATTTTCTATGTATTAAAGTAGTAGGTTAAGAACTTTTTTTTTTTTTTTTTTTTTTTTTTTTTTTTTTTTCCAATTTAAAAGTCTAAAACACATCACATACTGCAAAAATATACACAAAAATACTCACCATAATTAATTTTCCTAAGTTTTATTCCTTCACCCCGACGAATATGAAAATTCATGTCATGATATTTACGAAAAAACCTTTTTGATGCATCTTTCAAACATAAAATAAGACAGAAAATAATATATTAGTAAAATACAAAGTGCTTAGTAAGGAGATAATTATAGATGCAAAAATTATTATTAAATAAATTGAAATATTGTAATTAATTGTAGTATTTAACCCTCTCAGCATTATGGCCGGAAAATTCCGCATAGAAGGCTGCCTTCTACATTCATTATACATGAAAATTTCTGCTAGTTTTTAATGTATCTGATTTCGGTTTGGATGTATATTGGAAGAAAAGGAATCAAGGTACAAAATCAGAGAGTCATTTTTTAATTAAAATCAAGAAAATACCACTTATTCATGACATTTTGAGGAACTTTGAAATTTCAGGGCTAAACCTGTAACGCTCGGAGGGTTAAAATATCAGCACTGCTGATATTAAATGTGGTGATAATGTAACAAGAATAAAAATTAATATTAGCACAGCTATTCTAATAAAAGTATTGGAATTATGTACATCATTATGCCTTAGTGTTTCTCTTTTTCACTCTCAATAATGAAGCACTAATTCAGATGTGTCTTTATTTCGATGGCATTTTTTATTTGAAAAAATAATAACAATAACTTTATAATGGAGATGTTCCACAATTAAAGCAAAATCAACAGTGCCATTTGGTTAACCACACTGTCGAATATGTGCACTCCGTTTTTGAAATTGTCCGTACTTGGTGAAATATTTTAGCATTTGGCATGTCGACGGCACATCCTCGCTGCAATGCTGTCTGGCCCATTCAGTTATCACTTTGTCATGTCTTTTAGCATAACAAATAATTTTTTTTATTCATTGCGAGTGGGGTGTTGGAATCCACCAAAAATTCAAAAAGTTTCTTTTTCTGTTCTCTTATGTTCATATACAATGCCATACTCCTTGCATAATTTTGAGACGGCTGTACATATATCCATGTTTTGCAGCAATTCCACTTTTCATTCAATGGACATTGAAATATACTTCCGCTTTGTAGATCCTGTTGCAGCTCCAGAATTAGAAACTCAGTTCAACAAAATCTAAGGTTGAAACTTTAATTTTCATAAAATTGCTGTAATAAAAACAGCCTGCAAAAAATAATTAAGCTGGATCAAATCAGAAAGTTAAAGAATAGCACAATCTGCTATACTGACTGAAATTCCTTGCAATCAGTATAGTAGTATAATTTTAGTCTAGCTTAATAGCATCTGCTATACATTATTGGTAATGTAGCATGAAATAGGCGATGAAAGACAAGTTTTTCCACTAAATTTTGCCTTGCTTCTATAATACATTGAGATAATTAAGCCTGATTGTATGTTTAGTTGCTTATTATACTTACGTCTATTTCCTACGCATGCTTGAGGCTTATCCGAGTCCTGAATAAATAAATTCCTAGATATGTGCTAGATAAATTCCTAGATATGTGCTATTCGACAGTGTGCTTGTAAGGATCCTAAGTTCTACTAATGTTTATTTTATTTTAAAACTGTACTATCACTTGTCATTTTCTACTTCCGGCCAGAATTAAATGCTTTAACTTGTTTATGCAAATTGTCTTGCTAACGCCCAAGTACTTAAGTTGTGGCTTTTTGCCAAGCGAGAGAGAGAAGGAGTTTTAGGAAGCAAGCCGCTTGCCACTGTTGTTTTATGAGTTTTCACTCGGTTGGTGGTTGCCTTTAAGGCTAGAGGTTTAGCCCTCTTGATATTTGCAGACCTATTGTAGTTTTAGCAGCTCAGCGTACTACATACGTACCTTTTTTAATTAAAGGTCAGTCTTAGCACTAGGCATTTGTATACTAATTCAAAGTTAACTTTTAGTTAGAGTTTTAGTTAGTAGTTTTTATATTCTTACGTTCAGACCACAAATGGTTGGTCTCTGTATTCCGAAGTTCGGAAATACCTGTAAAGTATTGAAAATAAAGGGTTTCATATACCTTTCCTGCTTGTGTTGTCTACTTCACACCTTCTTGAACATAGCTTGAGTAAGCTTCCTGTTCCTATTCAGGATCATTCACGTTTCCAAATTTATGCTAAAATGATTATTTCTTCAATAATGTATTTTATTTAGTGCCAAAGGGAAATTAAAAATCGGGACTCTTCACATGTTTTATTTATGGGGGGAAATCAAATGTGTATGTGTAAAGCATTTAAAAAAAAGTCGGCGGCTTTTGAGGTCCAGATTTTTTATCATTCCGGATTTGGATGTCCGAATCTCAAACTTTGTACTGTATAAAAAATGATATTTTTGTACATTATACCTCACTTATATTTTCAGAAAAATGCTTCCAATTTTCTTTTCCTGTTTCTGTACACTAATAATAAACTATCTATATAATCAAATATCACAGCAATTATCCATATTATCCTATATAGCACTTCCCACAGATGTTTCTGCAAGTGTGTTGACAATAGAAAATTAGAAATTGGGAAAAAAAGAAAGTGGGGTACTATAAACCCACAAAACTTAAACAATGTATGGCAAGTCAGAAGAGGGAAATGTGTGGAAAAGACGTGTCAGAATGTTGAGAAAAAATACCATGACATTGGCAGGTGAAAATATGCAAATACAGTTCAACAATGAAATATCAGTACAAGGAGATTCAAAAGAAAGAATTTGATGAGAAAATCTATAATAAATGCAATGAAAAACAGAAGAATATATACAATATGTACAAAAATGCATAGAAGAAAAAGTCATGTTCACGTTGGAAAACTGCTGTTTAAGAAATCACATGGCCATTTTCTACAGTCACTGCGCTACTTTACTTGAGACTTGAGTTTAGGCTTAGCTATTTAGCCCGAAGGAAAATATCATTTAATTGTCAACTACAAAAGATTACATATTAACTCAAAACTGATATTTGACCTGCTTTTAATGCATCTGTAAGCATGACATCAGTATTTGGTAGAAAACTTACTATACACTGGAGTGAATCATATGAATTTTGGGAAAAAATGTAGATACTGTAACAATGTTATGAACAAAAAGAGAAGTAAAAATTAAGGAACATTTTAAAATATGCAAGTAAAGATGGTGATCCTGATATGCAGTTAATTAAAATACCAAAAATTAAAACTTCCAAATTAAAATAATTATAGCAGAAGCATCTGGTGCAGGCCAGGATCCAGAATTTCCCATTTTCAAAATAACACAAAGAGTTATATTTTCATACAAACTAATAATTTCATACAACACATACACTGGCCACCCAAATTGCAACACCAAGAAAGATAAGAGATATCACAACAAAATTTATTTAGTAGATAACATGTTGACCAAGTATTAAAAGAATCAGCAGCCAGAGTAGCTGCCATTGTTGGAGATCACCATTGCCACACGCCTCGGCACTGATTCAAAGAGACTTTGGATGCGTTCTTGTCGTACAGCAGACCAAGCCACCTCCACACATTGCCAAAGTTGATCTGTTGTGGCAGCTTGGGAAGTAATCTGGGTCAATCATTCAGCAACCATGGATAACACGTTTTCTATCGGTGAAAGCGAGCCGACCAGGGAAGCAATTCAATCTGGCTATTGACGAAGAACCCTTGGACAATGTGTGCCACGTGTTGTCGCGCATTATCCTGTTGAAATATGGCTGTGGGCAAGCCCTGAAGGTAAGGAAGGACAACTGGCTCCAACACCTCGGAGATGTAGTGCTGGCTGTTAAAGTACCAGCAATGCGTATTAGAGGAATGCGAAAGTGATATCCAATACCACTCCATATCATAATACCCAGTACAGTACCAGTGTGGCAGTGCATAATGCAGCTGTTCAGCATCGTCTCTCCACGGTGTCACGATGGCCAGCAGTGTACTTTTTAAAACATAATTTGGACAAGGATAGAGAAAAAATTTTTATGACAATAACACTGCTTTTAATTAAGACACAATAACACGCCGAATAAATACTAATTAAGAAGTCAAACAAAAATCTGCGTTATATTTTCAAAATTTTTGCAGGACTAGTTTCGATGGTTTTATCGAACCACCATCCTCAGCTGCAAAACCGCAAATGAACAAGATAGAAAATAATTTTAAAAATATAACGCTGATTTTTGTTGTTTGACTTCTGAATTAGTGCTGCTTTTAATGTTTCAAAAATTTCAGAATTCAAAACCTGAAGCCTGAATATGTTCCTCCAAACAAAAAACAGTTATCTGGAAATTCCCTAAAGAAGCTAGAAATGATACTGAAGTCAATTTAGAGACAGAACTATTACATGAAGGAGCAATTACTTCTGCCCTTCATGCCTGGTCAAATAAATAAATAACAGCAAATCCAATCTTTACTTTCACTATTCATGCTGGGGAAAAATTTTATCTTTTTAGCCCCGATTATGGAGTAGTCCAATTGTGGAAAAAAGGGCAGAATACTGTGCTTTATTTCAATAAATAGCAAAAGCAGAAATTAGGGAAAAGTATAAAGATACGTTTTTGTGACTTGTGCAATGAAAATAAAATGAATGGAATTATTAATGCATGAAAACTAAAATCATATTGATCTTCTCGCACATAGATATTCAACACATAAAGTGTTGGCCATTTGCAATGCAGTACTATGAAGGAAGCAATAAGCTTGAAATTCCAACCATGCAAAAAACTCCACAGGACATGCGAATTATTAGTACTGTACCACATATGCAAATCATGTATGTCAGCAATGTCACCTAAAACAGTATAAAAAGGAAAAACAATAGACTGTTTTAAATACCAGAATTGTGCTATGAATGAACTTCACAGGACATGAGAATGATGGCATTGCAGCACATATGGCAGCAATGGCATGTTATTGCTGTTATTGTCATGTCTATGATAAAGCCTATTCAAATAGTGCCATGAACGAAGATGACACCACTGGCAATCTGCAAAACGTTATCATCATAGATGTTTGGTCTCTTAAATAAGACCCCAATTTTTAGCAATTCAGTAAGGATGGCCTGACAATAAAAATGTGTGCAGTTGTCAGTTCTGTGTTCAAGCAGTTATCACAGGTTTTCCTAATCTCTTTGTCAATTTTC